ACTGATCCAAGGGGGCACACCAAGACCTAAAAACGAGTGGCAAGAACACTAGTAAAACTGGCGGTGCCCCACTCTAGAACGCACGGGTCTAGCTCCCTCTGAATAAGTCACCAGACATACGAAGTAAAAGAAATTATTACGAGGGTTGTCAACTAAAGAAGTGTGGTTCGACGAATGGAATCAACGTCTAAGTCAGAAGGTCGGACCACGTCCAGATGTTAAAACAAAGACCACAGGAATTACTGTCGAAGAAACCAGAACGTATTCACCTCAAACGCCTCACAACTGACAAACTCAACATCTGTCCACAGAAAATATGACTATTGCTCAAGTTGTCCACGGGAATTTATGTCATATCTTTTCACCTCCTGTGCTCCTCCGAAGAATTTCTTCTTCAATGTCCAGACACTCTCCGGTCTTTAGAAACAAAACAAACATCCACTCGGTTTTAAACGTTTATTTAAGAAAATTTTTAGTCTGTCACTAAAAGACCTAAAAAAAAAAGATTTAAGACAGAGAGTATCAACTCCATATGAATCCGGAGAGAGTCATAAAAAACATTCAAACCCCCTTCTTGATCGTGTTAACCACCGACTGATTTATGAAAAAAACGGGGTGACATCTACTTAGACAAAGAAGTCCAAACATTAGAAGGACCAGTTGGAACATAATAAACATTTTCAGCCGAAACCTATTTTCGCAGTCGATTTAACCGTTACATTCACAACTAGCAGTAATCGACCTGCTTAAGCCAGTACATGTCCAGGCCCGTCTGAAGTTTGCTAGAGAGAATTTAGATGATCCAGAAGAGGATTGGGAGAATGTCATATGGTCAGATGAAACCAAAATATAACTTTTTGGTAAAAACTCAACTAGACGTGTTTGGAGGAGAAAGAATGCTGGTTGCATCCAAAGAACACCATACCTACTGTGAAACATGGGGGTGGAAACATCATACTTTGGGGCTGTTTTTCTGCAAAGGGACCAGGACGACTGATCCGTGTAAAGGAAAGAATGAATGGGGCCATGTATCGTGAGATTTTGAGTGACAAACTCCTTCCATCAGCAAGGGCATTTGAAGATGAAACGTGGCTGGGTCTTTCAGCATGACAATGATCCCAAACACACCGCCCGGGCAACGAAGGAGTGGCTTTGTAAGAAACATTTCAAGGTCCTGGAGTGGCCTAGCCAGTCTCCAGATCTCAACCCCATATAAAATCTTTGGAGGGAGTTGAAAGTCCGTGTTGCCCAGCGACAGCCCCAAAACATCACTGCTCTAGAGGAGATCTGCATGGAGGAATGGGCCAAAATACCAGCAACAGTGTGTAAAAACCTTGTGAAGACTTACAGAAAACGTTTGACCTCTGTCATTGCCAACAAAGGGTATATAACAAAGTATTGAGATGAACTTTTGTTATTGACCAAATACTTATTTTCCATCATCATTTGCAAATAAATTCTTTAAAAATCAGACAATGTGATTTTCTGGATTTTTTTTTTCTCATTTTGTCTCTCATAGTTGAGGTATACCTACTGTAGGATGAAAATTACAGGCCTCTCTCATCTTTTTAAGTGGGAGAACTTGCACAATTGGTGGCTGACTTTTTTGCCCCACTGTAAGTACATCAGGTTTCATAGAGCCAAACATTTCAAGTGCAGTTTCAAAAGAGAAAACAACATTTACATTCTTATTCATCTCCTGCTGTTTGGGTTTCTTGACAAGACAGTTGCCTAATACCTGCAGACAGCTGGCTAGTTGGCATTAGCTCTCCCACAGACACAGATGGAACGAGGCAGAATCTGTTCACCAGATAATACTTTGTCAACAAACACAAATAGATAGCTTGAATCAGTCTACACAAGTTTCTCTTTTTTTCAAAATGTGGTAGATGCGATCATTAAAACACTTCTGGACAGCCAAAAACAGCTGGCCTCCTGGAGTCAACCTTTTGACAGGTACATATAGAATAGCTATTCTTGTCAGAGTTGATGGAATTGTTTTGACTGCTGATGTTGCAGACTGTCAGTAACCTTTATAATAAGTCACGATTTCTAACCAGCAGGACCGAACCCCAAGTATTTCCTTTACAGTGATAGAAAGCAGCAAATCCTTACATGAGAAGCTATAGCCGGTGAATGTTTGACATTTTTGGCTGATGTAGGACAAACCCAGCTGCTTTGTAGACGGCTAAGATGAACAAGAACAACAACACCCTTACTTTTTTGCCAAATGAATAAAAAGACTGTTTGGATTTGTTTCTTTGGAAGCCTCTTGCTGTGGCACAGTGATATTATATTCTATTTTAGCAATGACTCTTACAAAGAATAAGCCAAAAAGTATCTTGAAAAGTCACTTTGTTTAGACTTATCCCAACCTACAGTTATAACTGCCTTGCACAGAGTACAATATGCTAATAGCAGCTTATACTGAAAGGAAAAGACATATATGCTGTTGACCTGAAACACAATTTCTCATGAAACCAAAAGGCCCCTGAACTTTTCCCCGGTTGTACTGGATGTCAGTGGGGAAACCCAAGCTGTGCATCAGTTACTTATGGCAACATGGACAGTTTGTTTTAGTCAAGATTACATGGCATGAGCGCCTCAGAGCTACTGTTTTCTGCTGGGCTCGGCCTTCCCTTCGATCGGCTCTCTGCTCTCCCGCTCAGCTTGCCGGTCACGACTCAGCGCCTGTCTGAAGTTGAACAGATGCCAAAGCCCGGTTGACTCAGGGAGCCTTTGAATTATTGCCAGTTATTTGTTGTTGTGATATGATGGGAAAGACGTTGAAGGAAAGTGGGGACTTTTGCTGGATCAAGCTGTGAGATATGTTTACGGGAGAATGAGGCACCTGTTAACAAAAGTATTCCCTTACACTTTTTGAGGCCAAGCTGCTAATGCTGCCAGTCTGCTGAGGTTTGATCAGTATGAATGGAGGAAGGATTTCCACTGATTAAATATTGACAGTTAATACTCAGAAAAGGAGCATTTTGCTTTGCGTAACAACATTTTTGAAGTGTCTAGGTCCTCAAAATACTTGGCCAGTAAAATTCTGGCATGGGCTTATACTTATTAACTTGGCAAATCTGTCATTGTTCTGCTTGTAAAATTAATTTTGCGACTGCTGCAGTGGAGTTGATGGTGCCAAATTGTATCCCTCATTATTGTTTTTCACAGTGTAGGAAACAATTAGATTTAACAATCATTATGAGTCTCTAGGTTGTGAAGAAATTGAAAGGCCAAGCTCTCTGGTTTCCATATGTTCAGCTGGTTTTCAGCCCCCCACTATGCAGGCTGTGATCTCAGGCCGGTGGGCCGTTCAGTGGTCTTGGCATGTCACAAAGGCTCAAGGTGGCCTATTGTTAAAGGACTGCCAAGCAGCTTATTTGGCAGTAAAGCATTTTCCCATGTTTCTCTGGAGTAAAGTTAAACACTCGGCTGCTCCCCCGCACACCACGCACCATGTCAGCAGGCGTGCTAAATACTGTCATGTGTCTGCAGTTTGAACTGTCAGTGAACTTGCCCAGGCTTTCATAAAAGGCAACCCCCTTTTACCTAATAGCTGTTGTGTTTAATATGTAAACCTGAACAAACCAATGAAAAGCAGTACCATGGCCCTGCTATAAGTCCCAGTTGTAAAACTTGTGATGTTAAGTTGACACATTGAGACAAATGTTTGTTAATCACTATGGAATACTTTGAGGAGCAAGTGTTGTGCTAAATTCGAAAATCATAATAACGATAAGGTGTGTCTCATGTTTACTCCTTCTTATATACATAAAGGCCCAGACACACCAAGCTGACACCAAAGAACACGTCCCGACGGAACACAACTGTTGTGTTGCCTCACGTCTCCTGCGTCTTGGCCAACAGTCGCACTGAAACACACCGCAAAGACTTCAGCCGACGGCCAAGTAGCACATACGAACAGCGCATGCGTGAGTGGTAATAACTCTCCATACATTACCTTACATAGTGCCTTTACTACGTAATGACAATAAGTTGAATCTTCTATCTTCCATACCAGCAGGCGGCGGTAGTGTGTATTCACCATTCAAAATAGGCAACTGGAAGACAGACTGGGTAATATATACAAACAACAAATAGCGTGTGCGTTTTCACTCTCGTCCATCTAAAACATGTTTAGTGCGGGCAGATAGATGAAAATGAAAGATAATAGCCGTCTGTGTGTGCCTTCTTAATCGTTTGTTTGCGTACCTCGCTTCTCATGCACTGATTCGCTAAGCTGAACAGCCAATCAGAGTGATTTATTTTGCCGACAGCTCCACCGATTCAACTTGTTGCGGAAGGTGTCGGCACGGCCGAAAAGACACAACGGTGCGGGACACACCAATCTGAGTAGGGCAACAGGACGCTCATCGACGGCCAGAAATCTATCGACATCTATTGACAATTATTGGCAAATGTTTTGTATTGCACATCATAAATCCAAAACAACTCTCAACTTTATACTACCAATACTACACCAACAATAGAATGGTGTTGTTATTTATTTTGTAATGAAAGCCAAGACACTACAGCCACAGCACTTGCATTTCATCCGGAATGCTTGCTATTATGTTACTTGTCTGAAGATAATGGGGCGTTGTAGACAAAAGCCATTGTATGCCATACTTGATAACATCACAAACTAAATGCTTGAGATACAGAACATGCCAGTGGCTGTTATAAGTCGAGTGAAGTTGGTGTGTGGCACTCTGGAGGACATGTGTTTATCCTGTATCGTGGGACACATTTGCATTGGAAGCATTTGTATGCCTCGGTGTGAGGAGCAGAGAGGAAGGAGGCAGGATGCTTTTGGCATTCACCTGTGCTGTTGTGTGTTGTGGCTCACCCTGTATAATCAGTGTGTGTGTGTGTGTGTGTGTGTGTGTGTGTGTGTGTGTGTGTGTGTGTGTGTGTGTGTGTGTGTGTGTGTGTGTGTGTGTGTGTGTGTGTGTGTGTGTGTGTGTGTGTGTGTGTGTGTGTGTGTGTGTGTGTGTGTGTGCTCAGTTTCAACACAGGCCCATCCCAACACGTCTGGCCCTGCAGCTGCAGCAGAGCTAATTTTAGCCCCGGATGTGCGTACGCCTCAGTTCCCCTCGCCTGGCCTATGAGAGATGAAGATTGGATGGGGGGGGGGAAAATGTTGCAAATCTTTCACTCTCCTCTATTCTTAGCACCCATCCCTTTCTTTCTGTCTGTATGATTACCTGTAGTGTGTATTTTCCATGAATGTCCACGTTTCCTAGGGGCAGAACTATTGATTTGCACAGGATCACATAGACTGAATTCACTGTCACCTGCAGGTTTGTGACCTTTACTCACCAAAAAACATTTCTGTTTGATGGCATCTGACCATGGTGTGTACCTTTGTCAGCCTCACTATCTTTAAAATGTTCTACGGTCATTGCTCTGTATAGAAAACTAGGCAATAGCAGTCATTTTCCAGTGCTGTATTTGCTATTAATAAACCCAATTATATTCCTCTGCAGGCAGCCAGCTCCTCTGTGAGTGGCTCGTCCTTGTTACGAAAGAGAGAGGCACGGAATGGAGATAACAGCCGACCGGTTCACTGTGGGCAGGTATTAGCTGTTAATCCCTCTACCTAGGGGAAAGTGCCTGGATAAAGTGTGTGTCGTAGGCTTGTGTGTTTCATGAGTAATGGCCACCTGCAAACACACACGCACCACAGAGGATGACTAAAATTCCCTTGTGACCGTGTCAAACCAAATGTGTAATTCTTGGTCAGAGGAACAAAAATAACACATGCATATCTGTGTTTTTGTGCTTAGTTTTGCATTTGGGTGGAAATCAGCAGACTGAAAGAAAAATCCCAGTGGTCATGAACGTGCCCCAGATTCTTGTTAACCTTACTTTTAAGTTTCTGTAGACTAGGGCTGAACGATTAATCGATTTTAAATCGAAATCGATTTGAGATTATGCAATTATCAAATCTCAACGCCTGCGATTTCTTTAGTTTTTTTGTTTTGTTTTTTTTTCTCGTATGTCAGTCATCCACACCAATCAGAAGTGCTGTGCTCCACATGTACCAGTCATTGTTAACCAATCAGAAGTGGCCCATGATAGAAGGTGATAGACAGATTGATCCAATCACCTGCCAAGTATTTTTGAAATACTTTTCCAAATGGCTTCCAATGGAGCTTTCCTCGATGGTTTGGTGAAACAAACCATCTGAGTCAGGTTAGTAATGCTCCATCACATGTTTTACATCTAGTACAGGGGGAATCTTAAACTGAAGCTTGACTTTAAAGCAACACAACGGAAGTTTCATTTAAGTTTAGTTCTTTCACTCGTAGCTCGGGGTGCGGGGGTGCTAGAGACGGGAGCACGTTGATACGACCTTCCTAGCCAGAGATATGGCCGCATTTTATAATAAACTTCCGTTGGGTCGATTAAAAACAAATATCGCAAATCGAATCGCAATCGTAATATGTCATGTTCGGCAGTCTGTTCAGGGTCACCGCACTCGCATGCAGCACTGTCTGCCAGGCCCCACTTCTTCATTGATGTTTTGAAGCGACCGACCCCAGTTCGTAGACTGTTTAGTGTGGTCCATTGCCGGCGTGGTAGGTCGTCTCCTCCTATGGCGCCATCTCCTGGGTCCCAGATGTAGCGATGGATGCGGGAGGGCCCGGCTAGCTCCCACTCCTGCCTCCAAGCAGCCGCCAACCATGCATCTCTGGAGAGGTCCTCAGAGGTGGAATTGAACATATAATAACCACCTGCCCTTTATATAGACCACCCTCGGAAGCCAGCGTCTTCGACGTAGGACCATAGATGCGGGCATGGCTACACAACACCGAGTTGGACCTCTGACGTTACACGAAAGAAGAAGAATATTTGTCAGAAAAATCGCAATTTGATTATTTCTCCAAATCGTGCAGCCCTACTGTAGACTCACCTTGGTTTTACTATTTCTCTAATCTAATGTCTGATTGGAGCGGCTAAATGGCCCTAATTTAGGAAACTATGATGTATTTAAATCTCAAAATAAGTGTGAAGGCTGTATTAAAACCGCACGTTGATATATTTTAGCAAGAAACACAAGCCCTGTAATGACATGCGTCTTTGCTGCTTAGGTGTCTTTGAGCAAGACACTGACTACATCCTGGTCTTTGTTTGACCCTGTGATCCCACTTTAGTGGATAAACACAGACCGTTGACCTACAAAGATAGATACATTGTCATACCATCATTGTTGGATATTTAGTTTGTCATGGTCACAGCAAACACAGTTGACGGAATAAGGACAATGTCCGAACAGAACGGGCACAGAGTTTGCTTAAGCTCAATAATTCATGGCTGACTGAGCTCAACTGTCCTTGAAGAATCCCCAGAGTTGGTCAGTTGAAACCAGGCACTGCTCATTTTGGGCAGAGAGGAGAAGTTGAGACAGACACTTACAAACCCATGATACAAAATATTTGGAGTCTCCCTGTTTGGTTTTTAAGGAAGGTCAAAAGACGCAACATTTTCATTATCATCATCACATGTTCCATGTGATCCATCCAAAGTGTGTGTTCCACACAAGTGTGTGTTCCACACACTTTGGATTACATTGCTGTAGTTTGATTTAGGTTGGTTTAGTTTTTCTTCATCTTGTGGTTTGAATCCACATCCGAGAAACATATGATCACTTGTTGTGTTACAGTAAAGAAAGGAAAGCAGCCCTCTAGGAGACTTCTTTGTTTGGAAACCTATACAAAAATATCTTTCTACTGCAACCAGTGTTTTAACCTATTCTGTTCTTTGGCCATAAAGAAATTGATTTAGATTTTTGACAACCAAACTCGTCTACAGGCCAGACTGATTTTCTTATTCCTTTGTTTACCATGTGTTGTTTCTGCACCTGGTACTGTCCAAACAGTATAAAAAGCAAATAAAGAGAATGTGCACCGGCCCTTCATGCTTTTCTGAAGTAACACAGTGACTGAAATCATATTGTTCCCTTGTTTCCCTTCAGCCAAAATCTCTCGCTAACCGTATAGCACATTAGTTCAATTCTGTTTGACTAGTTAACTTATAAATAATTGTGAGTGGATATCAGTTTTTATCACAAGTGGTTGATTTGATAACTAAACAAACAACACATGAAAATGCAAAGCTTATTCAGCTGTGCGGCTGCAGAGAAAAGCTAGTCGCGATCACACCTCTTGGTTGGATATCTGCAGCACACAGACACTGTATTTGGCACGTTTAGGACATTTCTTTACACGTCATGCTAAAAAATATCGCACCCAGTTATCATCACACCCGCTGACTAATGCTACTGCAGCATTTGCTATTATATTAATATTGATGACGACACAACACATTCATTTTTTCTTGCAAATGTACCCAAATGTGCCCCTCTCTGATGAATTCACATTCACTTGCAGACTCATGTTTGAAACTGACGCATGTGGTTAAAGTTGTTGACTTTGTGGGAAAATAAACGTTTCCTCTTGTTGAATAAATCTTAATTGTGTCAGATCATTTAGTCGTTTTTAAAGAGGTTATTTTCAACACCATTAAAATGAGCGATGACAGGGAAAATAGAAAATCGTGTCCCGAAAAACGAATACAAACTCAGTGATAATCATTTTATTTACTTTAGTTAGAATCTACATTAGTGTGTTAATCATCCATGGCTGTCTCTTCCCTCTGTCCTCAGGGCGGCATTTTTTAGGAGTGGTTTTCTGTACTTTGCAGGGCTGTAACCTTGTGCATGTTTACATTGGTTTAATGAGTCACTTAGTCCCTGTTACTCGTATGATTCATCCGCCTGTAGTGAATGATGAGCATTGTTAGGTGTTTGAGGGAGACCTCCATTCAGTACTTGAAATAAGGCTCCAGTCACTTATTAAGGGAGGGCTTGTGGGCTAAGGCTGCATGGTTTATGTTGTGCATTGTTGCTAATGGGATCTTTTATCAACATGCTTAACAGTTGTGCTTGATCCTGCCACTTAATGCTGTAGCTGTTGTTAGTCCTGTGTCCTGGCTCTGGCACAGAAGAGGACTGGGTAAAGTCACGGGAAACACACAACATTCCTGCTCAAACCAGCTTTGGCTTGAATGATTGAATAAAGGGATTTTTCATTTACCAGTTTAGCTAACGACTCGAGTCCCTTTTGAGTCATGAGACAGCTGAGGGTCCAGACTCCAGTATATAAAAGTGAGCATTGTTTTTGCCCTTTCCCTATAAGGGCAGTTAGAACAACATGTAGCACTGTATAGCATTACATAACTGATGCAATGCATAGATTGGCCAGTGACAATAATCGGCCAATTTTCAGCTTGGTGGACCATGACCAACAATTCAAACAGTCTAAGACATAGCTGATTCTGTGCCAGTAAAATCTGAGGATAATTGCAGTCGTTGCATCTGTAGTGGGTGTCACATTTTTGATTTTAGATACGCTAGCGGCTTGGCTGTTAAGAATGGCAATGTTTGTTGGACAGCCTGATGGTCGGTCTACTATGGTCCATTCTGAAAAATCTTTATTGATTGAGCTATTGGATTGATTTCCATGAACAGAAATCTGTTATGAATTTTAATGATGGTGCTTAGGGCTGCACAATTTGGGGAAATAATCTAATTGCGATTTTTCTGACAGATATTGCGATTCGATTCGATATTTGTTTTTAAGCGACCCAACGGAAGTTTATTGTAAAATGCGGCCATATCTCCGGCTAGGAAGGTTGCATCAACATGCTCCTGTCTCTAGCACCCCCGCAGCCCGAGCTATGAGTGAAAGAACTACATTTACATTAAACTTCCGTTGGGTTTTTAAAGTCAAGCTTCAGTTTAAGATTCACCCTGTACTCGATGTAAAACATGTGATGGAGCATTACTAACCTGACTCAGATGGTTTGTTTCACCAAACCATCTAGGAAAGCTCCATTGGAAGCCATTTGGAAAAGTATTTCAAAAATACTTGGATTGGGTCAATCTGTCTATCACCTTCTATCATGGGCCACTTTTGATTGGTTAACAATGATTGGTACATGTGGAGCACAGCACTTCTGATTGGTGTGGATGACTGACACACAAGAAGAACAAAAAAAATAAAGATAATTGCATCATTTAAAATCGCGATTTCGATTTAAAATCGATTAATCGTTCAGCCCTAACAGTGCTGCCTACCAATCCTTAGCGCCTCTGAGGTTGTCATGTTTGGGTTTTAGTACACATTCGATGTTAAATTCAATTTGATGTCTATAGTACTTGGTGCTCGGAACGTGAATTCCCAATGGCTTTGGTAATCCCCAAGCCTTTCCCCTAATGCCACGATCATGTCCCTTATTCAGTGAAATATCAATCTACTACATGGGTCGACACACACACACTGGTATATATTCATCCATCTAACTGCAAATTCACATTGGAACATATCGTGTAAACTGCTCTGTGTGGAAACTAAATACAAAGTAACTTATTGGCTTTGTTTCAACCTTGTGCGCTGTTAAGCAGGGTGTTTAGCAATGTCATTGTGATTTGGGGTTTGAAGTGTTGTAAACAGGATGGGTTTGCACTCTTCCATTGTGAGCCCCACCACAGGACAATAAGCAGGTCCTGCAGAGGAAGAACAACTCCTAGAAGGAACATTCGCCAAGCCTCATTACTTGTATGACATATTTAGCAAACACTGACGGTTGGCTGGGGAGAACTGTTGTTGCTGGAAACGCAAAAGACTGGGTGAAATATAGAAATGAATGAAACCGTGTAGTCCCAGAGTTCAGTTCCAGATCATTATGGGTTGTTTTAACCAAAGGGGAGGACAGCATTTTAATTATTCCTTTTACTCTGTCTTAGCTAGGTTAATGTGTCCTGTTCTTCTTACAGCAGTTGTATTCATACTGAGGCGCTTGGGTTGCATCTGTATGGTGAGAAAAGCTCTAAGGCAGGAACGCATGTTCTTTCTTACAATGCAATAAATTTATACAATTCATCAAATTCCTTTTGAGGCGTCTAAGAAATGCTGTCGGACTTCTATAACCTTACAACTGTTTGAGTTAGTGTTGTCGTTATCCATTTGATCATCTATCCAGTTATAAGCTATTTGTTATATTAAATATCCATATTTTGTGATACTGTCAATTCATTTTCTGGAAAATAAATGGAGGATTGTGTTTGAATACAATAACCAATTGTATTGTCTGTTTCGGACAAATTTAGCAAGTGAAATGCCTGATAAATCAAAGTACATTATATGATGCTCTAATGACATGAAGATTAACTATCGCCATGAAACAGCTCCTCGTATTGATTTGCAACATCGGCCACAATGGCCTAATAAACCCAGAGATGGTCTATAAGGGTTGAGATGGTGTCAACATAAACAGTATGTACAAAGCTGCAAGCCTTTAAGTCAGATTTACAGCTCAAATTAGGTTGATTACATTTATTTGGTCATTTTGGTAGTTTATTGTCCTAAAGAACTCAAAATATATTCCCACCAATAATTTAACTAGAATATGTTGTCATCAAATATGAGATATATGTTTTGTTTGTGTTGTATTAGTCATCCCTCGTACCCCCTTTGCTGTATTCACTCGACCTGGCGCCACTGTTACCCTTTGCTGTTATGAGTCATACAGAATGAGTACGCCTTATCTGGCAAAGGAAAATAAATACCTTCTTCATACACATCACTCCAGATGGATGGGACTGCTGCATGGTCATTTCCTTTAGTTCTTGTGATTAATTGCTAATCTGAGAGTCCTTCAGATTAACACAAGGCTGAGCTGGAAGGGCTCAGCATCAGATGGAGAGCTCAGTGATGTGGCACCGGGAGGGAGACCCTAGCCAGCTCTCTGCAGACTCTTCTTTTGGGGCTGTACAGTCAATTCTATGGGTGTGCATCATCAATATGCATTTTTAGCTGTTGAAAACAACTTGGACAGCTGACTGTTGCTATGCAACAATAGGACACTTGGGAATTCACTCCTCGTGCCTCTAAATAACCTTCGAAAAGCATTTGTTGAACAACTGAATATATGTTCTTTGCCCTGAATGCATAGTTGGGCTTCCTTGCTGATGCTCTTTAATGTTAAAGTGTGCAGATTGTAGAGGAGGCTTGTGAAGTTGGAGCAGCTCCCTCTTGTTTTCCAAAGTCTCTGTGTTTTTGCTGCTGTTGTGTTGCCTGATTCATTGTCATGTACGTTTGTAGAGTAATGCCAAAATAATTTTCCTAAAGTCTTCTATCATGTTTTAATCCACTCTAAGATACACTACAGAACAAAAGGATGCAAAAAACGAGTATATACATTTTTTATGAATATGCCATTTGATTTAGAAAAATGTCAGAAATGCTCGTCGCTATTTCCTGACGCTCGAGGTGATGTCATCAAGACTGCCTTGTTTTGTCAAACCAACAGTTATGATCCTGAAGATATCAAATGTTACTATAAGATAAGGGAAGGAATATTTCAAATGTTTGAATCCAAAAACTGTCAAAATGTTGTGTAACAAAGCTCTATGAGTTAATTCTAATTATAGTTTGACGTGATTTTTTACCTAACCTGTGGTAGTTTGTTCATTAACGGAGGATTTATTCCTTGTGTTGCAGATGAGCGTCGGTGATTGACAGATGTGTGACGCTGTGGGGAACCATTCGCTTCTCCCAGTGGAGATCTGAGTTCTGGGACACTGAGGTGAGCGACTGTTGTTGCTGATCTCATGGATGGGTGTTATTAATCTCTTAATCCTGCATATACTGATGTTTTTATTACAGTTAATCTCGTGTTCTTACCTCTTTTTTTTACGTTGTACTGTTATGTGTTTTCTTTTTGCAATTAATCTAAAAAAAAGCAACAATGTCAAACTATTAGCATTATCTTTAACAATTTTAGCCTAATGTTGCTACGGAAATATGAAGGATAACAACAAACATGTTTTTTTGGGGAAGAAATGTAACTTTCTAACATGTGAAATACTGAATTAAGTATTCAATGCCCCAATCAGTCAGTACAAATATAAAATAATATAGTAAAATAAAACATGTTTTCTTTCACGTTTAATGTTTTATATTCTCCGATTTGAATTGAATGAACTCATCTTTGACATGACACTTGCAGTTTTATATACATGAGAACCACTCTATATATTACGTAAGGGACATTTATTTTTGGTGAATATTTGCCATTGCCTGAAAGTCATTTTAATGCAGTTCCCATGGTAACTGTTAAGCCTGCCCTGACGACGGAGAATTTCACTTCAGTGTGATTTTGACAGTTTGACAAGCCGGAGGAAAAGACTGAGTCAGCCTTTCATGAAGAGCTGAACCAGCTTACTAAATAGAGCCTTTCAATTCTCACACTCAGATTTAAAGCGAGTGCTCGCACAAAAGTATTTGACTCGTTCAGATCGTCATCTGCTCTGAGCGGCAAACGTGATCTGTCTCATCCAGCCTCACAGCGAATCGGATAGTTGGCTCCTCGAAGCCTGTTTTGTAACATGTTCAGGCTTATCCGCACCACTCAGGGAGCAGTGCATCGTTTTATGTTGGATTTGCTTTAATTGTAACTTTAAATACTGGTTTGAAGCTGAAGTGCCTTAAAACTGTTTCATGGTACCGTGGGTAGTCCATGTATAATTTTCTTCTGAATGAAGTAACTCAGGGATACTTTTTAAAATACTTTAGTCTCTGCAAAACACTATGGAAATAAATCAATTTAGATTTAAATTGCTGTTTTGTCAGGTAGTGTGATATATAAGGCATCATGTCTAGCGAGCGGATTATTTTTGCGAAATGAATGCCAACAGGTTGAGTGAGAGACCATTTTGGGAAAATTACGCTTCACATAATGCTGCTTATTTCATGGCGTCTTACCTAAGAAATCATTGATTTGACTTTTGCTAGAAAGTAATTGTAATTCTTCAAAATATTGATTTAGAAATGATTTTGGTAGTCTAATGTAAGAACTGCATCCTTAGCAGCAATCTGAAATTCAGAATCTTGTATTCAACAAACCCCTTTAACAACATGTAATTACATGTGACATACATTTAACTAAATTGTGTCTGGAGCTCTAATCTTTTCAGTAAGTGAACACTTGTACTTTTCATGCTTTGAATTTCATCATCAGACTTTTTTTTGCCAGAAAAAGACATTTGCATATCTTGTGTTGCAGTATAAAAACTGTCAGAAACGTAATGTAGATTCAGAGAAGCCTAGAGCTTGTGCAAATGTCCTGGCCTGTGATGATTTGGGCGTACCAAATACAATTAAACAAGGATGTGTCAACATTATGGTGTACTGTGGGAGGGAGCCTTAGTACTGTGCACACAGTTTACATGGTTTATGACTTACTGTACAGAAAGGAACATTGTGTAATATTGTATACATCTAATTTCTGACAAAGTATGTGTATGAATATTCCTACATTTGTGCACCACATTTTCTCCCCTTGAATCTGAACATTTTCATAAATGTAAAAAAATGTCTGGGGTCTGATTTTATTCAGTTATGTATGTGTCAGGAAGTAAACCAAGGACAATGACCCAGATTCAGCTGCATTAAGTTTATTTACAAGCCTCTGCTGTCACTTGTCACACGCTGTGGGAGCACATTTGGTGTCAAAGAAGGAAATACAGGGCCGGGGGAGGAGGACATCTGTTGTCACATCTTAGATTATGATCTCTATTTAAAATAACAGTGCGGAGACATTTGCTTTTAGTTAATATCCTCATTTCAAAAACACTAACACAAATGGAATCGTCTAAAGTGTAAGGAAAACTTTTAAATCAGCCAGCAGAGGCTGTTGCTGTCGGTAAATGGGATCTTCCCTCTTTGAAATGAGGATATATTGAGTTAGTCCTAATCCTTAATCCCATCAACTCAAAACCACACCAACAGAGCCACACAGTCTCTTCTAGGAGCAAAGGCTGCAGCTCTGTTGCATCAACTGTAGCAGGTCTTCAATCATTTCCTCAATCACAAGAGTATAGGTTAGGAATGGGATGCATGTTTATGGGAACCGTAAGCTTGTGTTTGAGAAAGGCTCCTGTGTGACCATGACACAGGTCACCACAGTGTTATTGCAGATATCAGACTTTTGTTGCGCTTCTTAAAGGCTACACCAGCTAAACTATGGTAGCTGTGTCACAATCTAAAGTAAAGGTTGTCAAATAGTGTGAAATTATTTTGGCATTTATTTTAAGCTATACCCTAACTCTAAAATGTAATAATCAAAGTGAATATATTTTCCATAGCATGAAGTCGGAAGAAAATATGGCTTTTTATTGTTGGCAGTTCTCAAAGTGCTGTCTGAACACCTAAGGAAATTCAGATGATGAGATCCCTAACTTTCTGTTTTAATTTAAGTAGGCTTTTATTGAGTGTTTAAGGCTTTGTTTTCCAACACCTGTGCTAGTTAGATCAGAGTTAAGCTGCCCTTAAGGTTAACTTTCAGTTGCACATGATTTCATAACAATTCACTCAGGCTGAGGACCAAAAAAGTCTCTATCTTATGCACCTGGTTTTCGTGGTGCAGGGAAAGCCTGTTTGACTGCCCGTCTGGATTGGCTCATGTTCAAAGCAGCTCTGATCAACAGTGACAGGAGAGGGCACCTAGGTGGCTCCTGATGTAACAGTGTAGTCAGCATCATGGCTTCCCCCCAGAGGCATTCGTCATGTTGTATCCCATTTACAGCAACTAACTTTAGAAGACCAATCACTGAAACGCTCTTTATTTATATCAACTTGCAAGCTATTAAACAGATTATCCATCTATTTTCAAAAGTACACACTCTGCCAAGGAGGTTATGCTTTTATTTAGGCTTGTTCTCTTCTTATTTTGTAATTTTGTCCTGTGTCTGAAGAATTACCAACAAAGTATTTGAGAGATTTTAATAAAACTTGTTAAAAATGTTAAGCAGGGAATCTGAATAATGGGGCCGATACACAATCTTTGTTTCACTTTTGTAAACATTGCAAGACTGATTTTTATATATTTTACAATGTAAATGTTTTATCCTGGGAGCGCTGCTAGCCTACTGGTTAAAGGGCATAATCGCAATGTTTAAGGTTCAAGCAGATTAAAGAAACTAAAACAAATGTTTCAAACATTATCTTTGGCAAATGGTTTGCTGTAATATAAAATACATATTTTGAAAATGGAAAATGTGCACGAATGTGAAAAACAAGGGCGTGTACCCCTTATTGGATATGACCATATGTTATTGCAAGCAAATATGATCTGAGGAAGTCGTAATTTTTCTCCTTGTTCTCTTCCTCGAACTGTTTGCGTTGCTTCCACTTTGCCCCCACCCATGTCTCAAATATCTGTTCTCCTTTTCTTTCCTCTGTGTCCACCAGGCAGCCGGGGGGGGGGTCTCTGAGGAAGATGCTGGGTCCAGAGCGCGGTGTTGTCGAAGAATGGCTCTCAGAATTCAAGGTAAAAGGCTCTCCTCTCTTGTTGAAATGTTGTTCTAGAGGTCATCTTTTTTTACTACTGAGAAATCACATGCTGTGGGTGTAATAACTACTGCGATGAGTGTTGAGCGTGCTACTTCGCCCATGTCACCTCTTCAGCATTTCAGTCTTTTGTAATTGTAGTGATGCAAGCAAGAATTGTGGGCAATAAGGACAGTGAGGAGTCAGGATACTTCTATCATTGCGAACTGAATCAAGCTCAACTTGTAAACTGTTCCTGAAGGATTTATGTAACACAAAACATCCAACACAACATGCCTTCACCTAAACTTGTGTTTACAACTATTCAGATCGCACTTATCCTTTAGTTTCCTTATTCTTTGAACCTACACAAACTGTTTAAGCTTAAGTGTTTAAACACTAGTTCCATGTAACATTCTCTCAGGCTTAGAGCTGTTGAAAATCAAAAAATAGTGAACTTCACTTACCCATATCTAAAATGTATACATGGTAACACAGTTTTCCTTCTGTTAGTGGTTTGCTTTTTTAATGTCTGAATGTGAAACAAGGTCATGTCTGCAAATATTGTGTAAAGCTCATTGGAATGTAGATTTAAGTTCAGCTGCACTCAAGTTAAATTGTGCTTAGTCTGCTTAGTCTGAAACATGCAAGATGGAGTTTAAGGTTAAAATAGTTACGGTGAAATCTTAAAAGACGATTGCTCCTACAGCGGTTAATTTGTGAGTCATTCTGAGATTTTCTCTCAAAAGTATTGTATAAGGATGTATTCATTTATATAACAAATATCATTATTTCCAAGAAAAACAAAACTATAAATAGCTCAGTACAGTGGCACAGTAGCTCGTTAGTTCCTAATTCTTATCTTAATTAATTAAGCTGACTTCCTGGTGTAATTTAAGATAACAATCTTGTGTAATGCTCTCTGGGAACACCGTGTTAGCTTCAGCTATACACCCAGTATAGTTGGGTCTAAAAATATATTTTAATCTGCAATCTGTTGCAATCTGTTACCTTGCCAAAAATGAAACGGTTACAACTTACTATTCAGGATACTTTTAAAACACAACAAATCTAAAGAATAACTCTTAACAATATTGGAAATGTTTCTTCTTTAAGTCAGTCTGTTCCATAAGCATGACAACATACTAAAAAAGGCATCTGTGCGTTGACCATTCCAAATGATCTGTATGAGATTTAGGGAGTGCTATGGAAAGGCAAGCCAGAAAAGAAGGAATGTATGTGTAATGCAGCGAGGGCACCAAATAGTGAGAGAGAAACAAGGGAGTATGACCATGGTGAGTGAAGGAATGGATTGGTATGACTCATTGCGTGAGTTGGTGCAGGCCGGGCACACTGTGTTCTGCCCTCAAAATGACCATACTTAGGCCGGAGAGGATATCTCTGCCTGCTGTCATCTGCACACAAACACACAGTCTTGACCATTTCAAGTATTTCTCCGCAGGATGTTCTGAGCCTGTCAGATATCATCACTCTGGGTTGTTCAGTTCCTTCAAAGAGTTATTTCGTCATTTATTTTATCCGATTTCACTCAACCTCGCACACTGGATTGCCCAGTCAGTGTTTTCTCCACAGTGCTTTTTAAAACTACTTGAGAAAAAAGGCCTTTTTCCTCAAGATTTATTGACATGTCACAATAGAAAAAGCACACAGTGTAAATAATACAATTGAATGATGAGTGAATTCAATGTAGCTGCTTCGGTTTCAGGGTCACTGTTTCAGTGCATGCTGGTTTACTGGAACATTTGAAAAGGCCAAAATCAACCTTAATGTTATTGTGGACATCTTTCATTTTGAATGAGGTGAAAATGCAAGGGTATGAATTTGTGCCATTTTAGATGTGGATGGAGAGTGACAAAAAATGAGTTAACCTGTGGTTTCAAAAATAATTAAAAAGATCATTTATTTGGGCAGCTGCTGGTTGAGAAATATGTGAACATTGGAACATGGAACCCAAAACATGCTTGATACTTTGCAATTGTATTATAACAATGCCTTGAATCCTATACAACTACTAATAAAGAAATGTGCGTGCAGTTGCTCATCAAACCTTTGTCTCTCCTCACTTCAGTCCCTACCAGAAAACCGCATCCCCAGCTACGCCGGCAGCCTTCATCTGAAGAAGTCCCTGGTGTTGGCCCTCTACAGAGTCATCCAGGACCCCAACAATGAGGTGAGAGAACCCCCACTCCTACTGTAAACTGTGTCACAATTTGTGTTCTTCCATACTAACACTTGTTATTTTGAGTGCATAAATGCATTCACACTGACCGGTATGGCAAAAAGCAGTGGTGTGTGGACACATCAGGCTTGTTGGATTTAAGACAACACTTCCTGAAACGCATGCACTAGTTAAGTGCGTAGATAGTGTACTACATGGAAGTGTCCATAGTGAGACACGGAAATCAAATATTCCAAGTATGGCTGTTTTCTTTTGCTCCATGACTCACACAGTATAATTTGTCTTAGTTGGCAGTGAGAATAAAACGCACACAAAACTGTGTCTGCCAGCTCCACTTTACACAGGGAGAGACTGAAACATCTGCTGCACACACTAGAAGTTATGTGCATAGTCATAGATGCAGAAACAGAAACTTTATAAACACACAGTAGGTCACATTTATTTATTTTAGCTGTGCTGCAACTCACAAGCACCTCACTGTTTTTAAATGTCTTCAAAACCAGCATGGCTAAACCTGTATTTTCTCTTTAAAGGACCTAATGAGGTACTTTTTGAGCAAAGGCCCAAGGCACTCAATGAGACGGGACTTTCATTTCATTCTAATTATACAGTTGGTGCCTTACAACCCCCACACCCCCCACCCCCAGTTTTTTCCCGCTTCTTCATGGTTGAATTTGGGTGTCAAGCAACCAGGGATCTAAATTCCATTAGTGTTGTCGATCTGGCTGCACAATCCCATTAACGGTAGGACAAGTGGTGTGTGTGTGTGTGTGTGTGTGTGTGTGTGTGTGTGTGTGTGTGTGTGTGTGTGTGTGTGTGTGTGTGTGTGTGTGTGTGTGTGTGTGTGTGTGTGTCACAATAAATAATTTTGTTGGACGATAAATGTTCGTGGAAATTATTGCGATAAACGATAATATTGTCGGCACCGTCCAACAAAATTATTTATTGTGACACACACACACACACACACACACACANGTTTTCGATGGACGAGTGAAAATGGAACGCACACGCTATTTGTTGTTTATACACAGGGCCGGACTGGGACAGGCCGGGAATTATACACCCAGCCAGGCCACAACCAGTTTTTTGTAACATTTTGCTGGATTTATTTGTCAATGTTTACAGCGTTGCTGCCCATAGTGATAGCCCTCTAAACTTTTTTCACCTAGTTAACGTTTTTTAATTATTATTCATGCATATTTTACTAATCACTCCCCCCTCAAATGGAAATATGTGTTTACATAGTGTAAAGGGTGACCAAACCGTTTGAGACCCAGATGAGGGTCTCAAGAGAGAGGCTACTCAGAGAGTCCTTTACCTCACCTGAGCTGTAGTTATCAGTCTCTCAGTCTGACAGGAGAGGACTCTCCTCCACCTTGTTGTTGAAAAAGCTCCTTATATCCGTTAGCGCAGCTAGCTAGCACCAGATGCTAACAACGATACACGTAACCGGTGCGCGCACTTTCTCTCTCGCTCGCTCGCGCCACACATACACTAACACACACCCTCCCGAGCTTGAATGACACACAGAGGCCAATCGAGGGCTTTAGTGTATGATCTGTATGAAAGTGGCCATGTCGGCAGGCCACATCATGTAGACAGCCGGTCACCCTCTGTGAGGCAGAGTCAGACCAACATTTGCGCAGCGTTGCGTTCACAATACATACATAAAAAAAAGAATCCTCAGGCCTCAGGCCAGTTAGCAGGCCAGGCCATCGGGAAACCTCCCGGTCCTCCCGATGGCCAGTCCGGGCCTGTTTGTACATATCACGCAGTCTGTTCTTCTTCTCTGTCTTCCGGTTGCCTCTTTTGAAGGACGAATACACACTACCGCCGCCTGCTGGTATGGAGAGTTATTGCCACTCACGTGCTACTTGGCCGTCGGCTGAAGTCTTTGCGGTGTGTTCGGTGCGACTTTTTGGCCAAGACGCAGGAGACGTGAGGCGACACAATAGTCGTGTTCCGTCGGGATGTGTTCTTTGGTGTCAGCTTGGGGTGTCTGGGCCTTTAGCTTGACCCTGGATTCAGAGGGACAGGAGGTGAAAAGGGGTGGAGGNGTGGCCTGGCTGGGTGTATAATTCCCGGCCTGACTTATTGTCCCAGTCCGGCCCTGTGTACAAACAACAAATAGCGTGTGCGTTCCATTTTCACTCGTCCATCGAAAACATGTTTAGTGCGGTACTGGCGGTATCAGCCCTTGGACTGTTGCTTGTGGAAGCAGATAGATGAAAATGAAAAATAATAGCCGTCTGTGTGTGCCTCGCTTCTCATGCACTGATTCGCGAAGCTGAACAGCCAATCAGAGTTATTTATTTTGCCGACAGCCTACCGATTCAACATATAGAATCGGGGGCGGAAGGTGTCGGCACGGCCTAAAAGACACAACGGTGCGGGACACACCAATCTGAGTGGGGCGACAGGACGCTCATCGACGGCCAGACATCTATCGACATCNTTGGACGGTTGCTTGTGGAAGCAGATAGATAAAAATGAAAAATAATAGCCGTCTGTGTGTGCCTTCTTAATCGTTTGTTTGCGTACCTCGCTTCTCATGCACTGATTCGCTAAGCTGAACAGCCAATCAGAGTGATTTATTTTGCCGACAGCTCCACCGATTCAACTTGTTGCGGAAGGTGTCGGCACGGCCGAAAAGACACAACGGTGCGGGACACACCAATCTGAGTAGGGCAACAGGACGCTCATCGACGGCCAGACATCTATCGACATCTATCGACGGCCGAAATCGTCTTGGTGTGTCCGGGCCTTTACTCGCCTGGGTCGGGTGGTCCTTCCTCCCCGACGAAAGGATTTTGACTATGGGTGAATTCTGGGGGGGCTTGTGTGGTGGGTTGACATCATTTACCCACGGAACTATGGGTGGGGGTATTGTTCCGCACAGACATTTTAGTTTAGGCGAACTTCCATTTTCCGGTCAGGGGGTGTTTCTCAATCTCGAGTAAAGCTGCTCCAGAGCCACTATTTCAAGCATACTACGTCATCGAGTACCGCCGAAGGACTGTTCCAATGTCAAGCATGCTTGGAATTCTACCGAGCCCGGCGTACTTCGTTTGGAGAAATTTCGAGGCTGTACAGTCTTAAAATCCCCACAATGCTTTGCGCATGGACCAATTTCAAAATTCATTTCAAATGTAAGGCGGGGCCTCTCATATGACGCACACTTGCTCGCCTGTTCCACTCTTTATTTTCCGAATGCCAGGAAGTATTCTTGCCTCGCTTCTGGAGCAAGTGACTCGGAAGACATGTGCTACCAAGCAAGCGTAATCGAGATTGAGAAACACCCAGTGAGTTTCCCCGGGCTTGAGTTTGTTTACATGCTGTTCCATGTTGAATAAAAGACTAGCTTTGTCTTTTGACACACCGCCTCTGACTCCCGTCTCTCTGCACTACAGAATATAGCATTCAACCAGCAGGCAAATAAGGCTGAACCTCCTCGTCTACCTAACTATGGTTGTTGAGAGACATCGCTTGTGTTTGAGTTATGGATCAATATCTTTCTAAATAAACCAAAAATTGGAAAACTAGTCTTATCAAAATAGGACATTAAAGACTGTCTCTCCGGCTCTCTCTTTTATTTCTAACGATAAGTTAAAAACACTTAAAAAGTGCAGTTTGTTCTCTTAATACATCCCCTACATTACCTGTTCATTCTTAAATTGGCAACAAAATAAATTAAGTATTTATTATAAAAAACTGGGGGCATTTTGTCGGTCTTTAATTTTATTTTTTTTACCTAGAATTTCTTCCTCCTTCTACATAAGGTTAGTTTTCCTCGAAAATATAAATTACTGGACGAAAGGTGAAGGGAACTTTTTTCTTCCCCTGTTGATTTCCACTTTTGTGTAAATTTCTATTTGAATAGGTTAACTTAAACAGAAGATCTAACTCCGGACGTCGGTTAACCACCTGAAGAGTTTATGTCTGTTGTTCTTCGGTAGGAAATTGCGGACGTTAGTACAATGTCATTTAATAGTGTAGTGTGAAGGGAAGTACGACGGTGAACCTTCGGTGGTCACGAGGTACACAGGACCCTTACGTTGAAGTTCACTGAATTGAAGTCGGTGTGGCTTTTTGACGTCACCAGCATTCGTTCGTTAGTAAAAATACAAATTTTCTCGTAATAAAAAATAATACAATTCCACCTTTATTCACGCGTAAAATGAGTGTAAGACATAAGTTCGTCTGAAGTAAATATCTGTCCTTACACACATGACCAAAAGTAAACCAAACATAGAAAGCATTTTCCCTTGTTTCTTCGGACGTATGGAAAAAAACAAAAAAAGGAATTTATTTACAGGTCTCCAGAAAGCACGCTCCCCCGTCCCGGCCTTTATGTGACTTTTCACTAAAGATTTATTTTCGGGAGCCGGACCAAAATGTGCCCCCTAC